TGGGGAGCTAATGGAGTACTCACTGCTTTGGCATTGCCATCATAACTGAATTTCTTCAGCATCTTCTGCAAGTAACTCCTCTGTGTTAACTTCAACCTCCCCTTCACTCTGTCTCTCTCGATTTCCATACCCAATATCTTCTTTGCTTCTCCAAGATCCTTCATCTCAAATTCGGATGACAGTTCCTTTTTCAACTTTCTAATAGCTGAAGTATTCCTGGAAGCAATGAGCATATCGTCAACATATAACAGCAAATAGATATACTCACCATTCTGTAGCTTGTGCATGTAAACACACGGGTCATATGGGCTCCTCGTGTACCCTCGGCCAATCATAAAGCCGTCGAATCTCTTGTATCATTGTCGCGGTGATTGCTTCAATCCGTAAAGAGACTTCTTCAGCTTGCATACCAATTCTTCCTTTCCTACAGCTTTGAACCCTATAGGTTGTGTCATGTAGAGCTCCTCTTCTAAATCTCCATGTAGAAAGGCTGTTTTCACATCCATCTGGACCAAATCCAAATCCAGTTGTGCCACCAATGCCAATAAAATACGAATCGACGAATGCTTCACAACAGGTAAAAATACCTCATTGTAATCAACGCCCTCTAGCTGTGCATATCCCTTGGCAACCAATCTGGTTTTCTACCTAATGTCCCTAATAGAAGATCTCTCTTTCTTCGCATATAACCACTTGCAACCAATAGCTTACGAATGTTTCTTCTTGGTCTATTAGCTGCAATGGACTCCTGAACATGACCATGTTCCTGAGTCCCAACATCCACTGTATCCTCTAAATGCCCGGCTGTCATATCATCTCCTCCCAGTGTCACCTCTGTAGGAGCCTCGATGGATATAATACTATCTGGAGTGGGTGGAGTCACATCATCCTCCACCTGCTGTGATATCCCAACTGTCTGGTCTTCCTCCACCTGCTGAGGAACTTGAGGCTTCATCATGTACGCCTCGTCAAATGTGACATCCCTGCTAATAACTATCTTCTTGTCCTGTGAATCCCATAACTTGAAGCCTTTAACTCCATCTCTAAATCCCACAAAGACTGCTTTCCTCGCCCTCGGATTCAATTTACCATCATTGACATGGTAATAAGCTGGACACCCAAATATCCGAAGCGACTCATAGTCACTAGCTACCGAACCAGACCAACGCTCCAATGGAGTATTCCCCTGTATCGCAGTGCACAACAACCTATTCACGAGATGGCTCGCATAAACCAACGCTTCGGCCCAAAATGATCTTGACAATCTACTCTGCGTCATCATACATCGCACCTTCTCCAGCAAGGTACAGTTCAATCTTTCAGCCACCCCGTTCTGTTGCGGTGTCTCACGTACTGTGAAGTGTCGTCTAATGCCGTGATCCCTGCAAAACTGCAGAAACGGATCACTCTTATACTCTCCTCCATTGTCCGAACGAAGAGTTTTTACCTTTCTACCTGTCTGTAGCTCCACTTTCTTTTTCCACTCCACAAAAATATCCAGGACCTGATGTTTATGCTTCATCGGGTATACCCAATTTCTCCTGGAATAGTCATTAATGAAAGTGACAAAATAGTTGGTCCCACCAAGTGATGTATGCTTGGAAGGGCCCCAAACATGTGTGAATATAGTCTAATATACCTTGGGTATTGTGAATAGCGGTGCCAAATTTCACTTTTGTCTTCTTCCCAAGTATGCAATATTCACACAGCTCCATTTTGCAGGTCTTCGCACCCTTCAATAGCCCCTGCTTCGCCAATACCTGCAGGGACTTATCACCAGTGTGTCCCAATCTCATATGCCATAAACTGGTAGTATCTTCCTCTGTGGTAATCAAAGCTGCCAGACCCCTTGTTACTGTTTTGCCCTTCAAGTAATAAAGATTATTTTCCCTGACACCTCGCATCACCACCATGAACCCCTTTGTGACCTTCAGAGTCGCATTCTCCAAGATCACCTTATAACCAGCTGCCTCTAAAGTTCCAAGCGAAATGATATTCTTCGTCAATTGAGGAACGAATCCCACTTCCTTCAGCTCCCGAGTTACCCTGTCACACATCCGGATCCGTACTGTATTAATACCACTAATAGGGCATATGTGATCATTACCCATGAGCACGACATCCCCCCTTTCCAACTCTTCAAAGCTGGAGAACCAATCCCTCCTAGGGCAAATATGGTATGTAGCACCAGAATCCATCATCCACTCCGTAGAGTCAGCGTAACAAACTGACGGTAGTACAGAGCAGGAATAGCCTGAAGAATCTGTATCTGAATTGTTGTCACTAGCCTTGACAACATTCACTTCCGAAGCTTGTACAACTTTCCATTTATTCTTCCCGGCTTTATCTTTCAACTTTGGGCAGTCGTTCTTCCAATGTCCTTCTTCTTTGCAAAAACGACATTGATTCCTACCAATATTTCTATGGCCACCTCTTGACTTCGATCTTGAGCGATCACCTGGACGACGGTTTGGACCATGGCCTCGAACTGCTAATGCATCTCCCGATACCTTCTCGGAGGGTTCGCCATCACTCTTCCTCAACTCATAATTCACCAAAGCTGAGGTCACCTCCTTGTAGCTAACCGTAGTTCTTCCATTTATCATAGTGAGAACAAACGTTCTAAAATCATCCTCCGGCAATGAACACAATAGTAGCATCGCCTTGTCTTCATCCTCAACCATGATATTTACATTGGCCATATCCGAAATTAGCTTCGTGAAGTTGTTAACATGCTCCCGAATGGAAACTCCTTTCTTCATCTTGAATTGGTAAAACCTCTTCTTCAAGTGAAGTCGATTCTCAATGCTCTTCGTCAGATACTTCCCATTGAGTGTTTCCCACATTCTCTTCGCCGACGTCCCGTTCATTACGTCATAAATAAGATCCGACGTCAAGCATGACCGAATAACTCCACAAGCCCTACTATTCATTTTCTTCCAAACCTTGTCCTCCATATCAGCGGGTTTCTCTTGTAACTCAAGAGTCTCCTCCAAATTTTGTGCATCCAAGGCGTCCATCACCTGACACCTCCACAAACCGAAATTGATCTTGCCGTCGAACTTCGGAACATCAATCTTCGTGTTATTGATGCTCAGACTCTGTATCGCCTTTGTGTTACTCTATTATTGTCATCATATGAATAACATGTGAATTATGTTTTTAAGAATTGGAACTGATAATTCCATGAAACGTCTGATTCATATAGTATTAGTTATGTTGTGCGCAGCGGAAATTTCGGCAGCACCTCCGGTGCGCAAGGTGCACAACAAGAGATTAGATCGTAAGAATTCCTGTTTCACCAAGGAAACAAGAATCTGAAGCGGATATCTCAACAAAGTGAGATACCGGCTCTTCCTCTCATCAGTTCTAGGACTGACCTGTCGAGGGATCCTACAAGCTATTACAAATCACGGCAAAAACACAAATTTTACATGATTCGGCAAATTACCTACGTTCACGGGGCAAGGAGGGGGAGATCTACTATTAGAAGGAGAGAATACAACTGGGTTTACAATCACACAATTTAAACCCTCACACAAAACTCTTAGATCCCTCACACAAAATCTCTCTCAAAGGGGATGCTAAAAACAAAGAACATCTACAAAAGACTTGCTTTTCCTCCGTGAATAGCCACCAAAAGCACTGCTTTTTGTTCTCTGTCTGCAGCAGCCGCCAAAAGAAAAGACCGGCCCTGCACCTCTTCGTAGCCGCCCAAAGAAAAGAACTCCTGTTGTTGCAAAAACAATCCCCAGCCTTTTGCACAAAGTCCAACGAAGAGAGAGAGCCGCACAAACTCTTTCTGCACCAAGCACACCTTTTTGAAACCCTAGGAAAAGATCTTATAGGCTGCAAACAAAGCAATCGGGTGGGCCCTACTCACATTAATTGAGAAGTCACTATCACGTGAACTCTTCACGTGGGTTGGCTGGCCCATTCACAAGTTATTCTTTTTTTTTTCCAAACGGATGCGTTAGTACATTATTAGTTTATAGGACGACAATATCTGCCTTGCCATAGCAAGCACAAAAGGCCTTCTTTCTTCTTCTTTTTCTTTTTCCTTTTTCCTATCTATTATAAAAGCTCATTCCCTGTTAAGATATTAGTCCCAACGGTCATAATTTCCCTGAAATCAGACACTGCTCTAGACTATTTTAAGCTAGTTGGGCTGTTAGTCCATGTGAAAGCAAACATTGGACTAGACTAAGATAGCTGGGCCATAAAATTAATCTTTGTAAGTACTCACCACAATCTTAAAATTGGTAACTTCTGGGCTTCTTGCAATTAGCAAAGTACCCTTGCAAGAAAAATAAATATAATGTTGATATTAGGGACTTGTATCTCCTATCCACATATGTATCTCCATTCTGGACACATGTCCTTTGTAAATATCATCCAAAAATTGCAAGAAAGAAATTGAAAGGAAATATATTCGTAAATATTGTTGATCCAATAACACTTCAAGACTCACGAATTGCACACTTATAAACCTATATTTCACATGTGCAAACTGTCAATTGCTTCCCCATAATATTTTTAAAGTCCCTACAACTACACTAGAACTCCAAGGTCAAGGCAAAAGTTTAGGGATATACTTTTAAACTTACTTTTCTAGGTTGAGACCTAGACAATTTTAAGCAGGGTTAATTTTTTTAAACCCACTTAAATACGTACCCCATGGGATTCTGACCTGGGTTGCTCATATATC